TGGATTGATATTAGCATATTCAATCATGTATCCCAAGAGACTGAGCCACTCGAGTTGTGGAGAAAATTGGAGGGTCTTTATGAGAGAAAGACTGCTCATAACAAGGCCTCGTTGATTAAGAGGCTTGTTAGTCTCAAGTTGAAGCCGGGAAAATCTGTTTCTGAGCATCTTAGTGATTTTCAAGATATCATTAACAAGTTGACTGTGATGAAAATTGTTTTTGATGATGAGTTGCAGGCTTTATTCCTATTGAGTTCTTTGCCAGATAGTTGGGAGACTTTGGTTGTGTCTATCAGCAACTCAGCTCCAGATGGTGTGCTTTCATTGGATGTCATTAAAGAGAGCATGTTCAATGAAGAGCTTAGAAGAAAGGAGATGGGTGTTGACATTTCACAAGCACTTGTGGTAGAGAATAGAGGAAGAAGCAAAAGCAGAGGTCCCAAGGGGCGTGGCAAGTCAAAGTACAGGTCCAAGTCCAAGGATGGGAGAGAGCCCACGATATGTCACTATTGTAGCAAACCTGGCCATATTCAAAAGTTTTGCTATAAGATGAAAAGAGACCAGCAAAAGAAGAAAAATTATCATCACAAAGAGGGTGATGACAAGAATACAACGGCGACAGCTTCTACTTCAGATGATGGTGTTTCATTGGTTTGTACTGCAGGTGATTGTTGTCATGTTGATAATTCTGATTCTGAATGGCTTGTTGATACGGGGGCTTCTTATCATTGTGTTCCTCATAAGGAGTACTTTATTGACTACCGAGTTGGAGATTTTGGTAGTGTGAAGATGGGAAACCAGAGTTCAGCAGGTATTGTTGGAATTGGAGATATTCGGGTTCAAAATGGGAATGGTTTTAAGGAACGGAGGGAGTATTACTCTGGTAGTTTTTTTAAATTAGAAGTTTTTATTCCAGTTTTGAATATTCAAATTAGGTTTAAGCACTTGAATTTAGTTTTAATATTTAGTCCTAATTTTTCTCTTTTGAGTTGTGGAATTTGTTTTAAGCCAAGTATGTGATTATAATCCCAAATCTAGAAGATCTAATGAGATCTAACCATCCCAAAATTTGAAGATCTAATCTAATCGGGATTTGCTAGGTATACCTCAAGGTGGTGTACCCCAAGTGTACAATACCTTTTCACAGACACACGCAAACACTCATTGTCTGTGTGAAAGTGGTTGAAACACAGACAATGAGTGTCTATGTATGTCTGTGAGAAGATGATGTACACTTGGGATACACTTAAGTTTTAACGGTCCTAAGATATGTTATACAAAAGGGAATTAAAATTTGTAAATTTTGAAGGTATCTAACTTTATTTTTTGCCTGAATGTGCGATTATCTGTCAAAAGAAAAAATTGTCCTAATGAAACTCAAAAAAAAAAAAGATGAGCATTTTTACATTGGTAGTGGCCTAGCTTCCTTTATAGTACGGAGTAATAAGTCAAATGCATTTGAATTTATATGGAATTTTTATTCTACAAGCTAAGGGAAAATTTCAACTTATGGATATACTAGAGAAATTATCATGGAGGGTAAAGCGTGAAGTAATTAATGTCAAGCTTGAAAATGGAAATGCAACCATTAATTAAATTAAACACAAAAAGCATTATGTAGTCATTTTTAGACTTCATACAGTGACACTAGACTTCAAATAGTATTATTCTTGAGGTCGAGTTTATTAATTAGACTAACATTTTGTGGTGAATTTGGTGATGAACAGTAGCACACTTAGAGGGTGTTTGGCAGTGCGCTGCTTTTAAAAATTTAGCTTCTGCTTTGAGTGGAAGTGATTTTACTCTGTTTGGCATGTCAGCTTCTGCTTTTCACCAACATTATTTTGTACATGGAACACCGTTTCGGAGAAGCAGATATGAGGTGCTTTTACTTTCAGATTTTGTAGAAATCACTTTATCCATAAACTAATCACTCTCAAACACCCTCTTAATTAGGGAAGAAGAGTGAGTTCTTCAATTCACACATTTCACACTCATAGTTTATTTGCTTTCTTAATTTACATTAGTGGATAGTTTTTCACATTGATAGATTTTAATTCATTGTATGTTCTTTTACATCTTGAAATAACATTTAATATAGTTAACTATTTGTTAAATCAAGTGTTAAATATATCAATTATTTAATATATTTAATATTATATATTATTATGGTTGTTACCCATTATAGTTAGAATTATTATTATATAATATTACCTTATATAAATTAGTCATTAATGTGGAGGATTCTAGAATATATTCCTACATCTGTAAATACATACTTTGTATTTTTCTCTTATTCATTCAATCAATAAAGCGTTCTTTATTATTTTTACATCAAGTTTCATATCCTGATTATACACAGCTTAATGTTGACACTAAACTCATAAAGTAATTTTGGTAAGAGTTGTGCTTTTGTGATTCTAAAGCCTACATGAGAAATGTGGAACTTTTTATATTTTTCATAAATTTACAAATTAATTTTAGCGTTTTAAAAGTTAATCAATACCATAAGAACATTATTCAAAACGCTCATGTTAATTAAAAATGTTAATGATAATTCGGTGAGGTTCTAGTGACACCGGAGTACGGTGCCACTCTAGTGCCACTGGCATTTTGAGGCACCTCCGATGCTCCGTTCGCAAAATTGACGGTTCCTACCCCCCTAACCCACCCCCTA